CACTTTGGACCAAAGTATCATGGCTTATTGTTATAGCAGACTTAGAGTAGGAACAGCTGTAGTGAATAAACAGTACTGCTTTACTAGGAGAACATAAGAGCGAATATTACTGTTGGCTTATAGTAAAGCAACAATTGAATTTATGCTATAAACCAATCGAGGTAAGAACAAAGGCTTTCGAAAGAAAATGGGAATATTAAATAGATAAATCTAGCTGAAGAATATGTTATAATCTCATGCAAATATCACAAACCCATCAAAATTCAGCTTTTTCTGCTCCTACCACCACTGAAGAATATCATTAAACAAACAGAGGGATAGGGGCACTTGTGTGGCTCAGTCCGTTAAGCGTCCTCCTCTTGAGTTCAGCCCAGGTCATGTTCTCATGGTTTGCGGGCTCAAGCCTGGAGCTGTTAGCCCAGAGCCTCCTCGGGATTCTTTCTCTCTGCCCCTCCCCTGCTCAAGTGTGTGTACGCAGGCTCTCAGAAATGAATTTTTTAAAAAATTTAAAAAATAAGTAAGCAGAGGATAGGCAAAATTCTTGAACTTCAATCAAGAAGCTGCGAAAAAAGAACACACGTTGTTATGGACACAGCACTGAAGCCCACTGAAGCCTTAGTACATTCAGGTTTCAGTATAGTACCTCCTATTGCATTGTAGCACCTGTAAATACCTACACAGAAATGTAAGTGTACTTGAGTATAATAAATCCACTGTAAACTGGAATCCCATATTAATGTAATGGTGCTTTGCCCTATAGTCTCCTTCCTAAGATCTTACATTTTGAGAAACAACACTAATTTTTACGTGACTATGCTTTCTTGAAATGCCCCCTTTGGTTGGGCATCTGGTAACCTCTCATCTTCTGTGGTACCAAACCTTCCTACTGGAATAATGTTCCTGGTAGCCTCATTTTCCCAGAAAAGCCCTTTACTTCACCTCCCAAGGTTACTCATACCCACCTTTCTTAATTTCCTTTCCCCCTCCTTCTCTTCCATTCCCTCCTACCCTCACTCAAGGACAACTGAAAGAGGGTGGAGGAAAAGTTCAGCTCAAAATGTACACGGAGATCTCATCCATATTCTGTACCAATTTCCAGACCATAAAACTCCTTACTGGCAGAGAAAGTGTTCTGTGATAATGCCTAAAATAGTCCCTTTTACCTTGTACTTAAAGCACACCTTGAATGTAGATTTTAAAACAGTGGCATGCAACAACAAAGTCAAAAAGGCCAAAAAAGGGAGTCTTTTCTAGTTCCCTTTTGTTAGTGGATCCAAAGACTCCCTTCACTGAAAGCATCTTAAGGGGAAGACTAGCTTAGGGATGTGGTAAGGATAGCACCTGAAAAGTGAAGAACTGAGTAACCACCCATGACCCTACTTACTACTCAGTACGCTGGAACATGGAGCCCACCGTAATTGATGCTGAGCTCACACTATTGATGGCAGATGATTTCTAGTCCAGAGTTGCAGTTCTGGGCTTTTGTTTACCACTGTGGGTAATAACCACTCTAGCAGTAAGTACAGTGCCTGCATTTCAGGTTTATCACTCCTTGGTAACCTCCCCCCCGCCCCAATGCACACAGCACCCACTATGACTGCCTCATACTGTTCGCACAGGGCAGACAGCTAATAGGTGTTGAATAAATGCTTGACTAAGGTTGACTTCACACATTCATTCAATTTGCAAAGTCCATATCCTTGACGCTGAGGCAGACCGATTTCCACTTACCCTCTAGTGTCAGGGTTTGGGCAGCAGGCTGCTACCCCAAGTCATGGCTGTGCAGACTCAAATTAGCACACTATACCACATGACTGATTGTCAAAGAACTTTCCCATTGAAAACTAATTAATCTTCCCCATACATCCCTGTGAAAGGTAAGTTTTCTGTGCTCATCTGCAGGTTATAAAGAGGAAACTGGAGATGAGAAGGTCATGGGCTGTGCCAAAGGCTATTAAGGGTGTCTGCTGGGGAATGAAGTCATAAAGCAGTGATCCAGGTTCAGTATCTATACCCACTCCAAACCTAGGCCTTTTCCCCATGTTTTGACCATCTTAACATTCTCTGGGCTTTAATGTGGGTATAGACAGAGTATAGCAGATATGTGCATTTCAAAGGGGGGAGAAATTATGATTTGACCCTACTAAATACTTTGGATGTATTTCCAAGGAGAATTCATAGTAATGTTTTTATTTTTAAGAGAGAGTGCAAGTTGGGGAGGGGCAGAGAAAGAGACACACACAGAGTCCGAAGCAGGCTCCAAACTCTGAGCTGCCATCACAGAGCCCAATGCAGGGCCTGAACCTACAAACAGTGAGATCACGGCCTGAGCCAAAGTCAGATACCTAACCGACTGAGCTACCCAGGCGCCCCCCAAGGAGCACTCGTATTAGAAGTCCTCGCTCTCAGATCTTTTTCAGCAAAGATATCTTGTTAGGTAGATTTAGTACTGTCTCCTGGAAAGAAGGCTGAGAAGTATCATCTTCACTGCCCTTCCTGAGATATGCATGGGGGGCGGGGAAGGGGAGGGGGTTCACCCTTGCACCCACAGAGACACAAACCTATGCACAGACTGCCCACAGAGTCCAGACCTGTGAACTGCCCAGAGCAGAATGACAGCATGGGCTGCTTGCCACACTTCACCCGGGCTGTTGCTCTGCGACAGATTTCAAGTCTCTGATCAGTTCCCCGGAGCATACATACAGCAAATATTTCCACCTTCTCTATTATCAGCCTTCCGACTTTGCCAAAGAGAACCAGGATTGGCTATTTAAAAGGGCAAAGCAAGCTTCAACCACCAGAACCATGTCCTTTTCCCTTCGTGGGTTCCTCTTCCTCATCCCACCTTCTAGATGAGGACCTGCCCTGAGTTTCATGCTCTTATGTAATTACTATTTACCGTCCTATAGTATGTTAATAGTACTACTCTCCTTGGGGACCGCCTTCACTCGCACAATTCCCATTCCTTGTCAATTTCTAAATCAAGTCTATCCCTGACCTGAGGAGGTTGGATTACCAACTATAATTTTCTCCCATTTTTATAGAGCATGACTTGAAGTAGATGACTATCTCATTTAGGGAATAACTACTCTGGATAGACATTAAAACATTCTCTATTGCTATAGTAATTAAAACAGCATAGTATTTGCACATGAGTAGTTAGACAAATGGAACAGCAAATCCAGAAATACACTCAAATACACATGGGAATCTGTTATTATCTGTTATTATCCTAATTTCTCTAATGTGCTTAAAATTTTCCATAATAAAATTTTCTTAAGGTACCAGAACAAAATATGAGTGACTTCCTTGGAGGGGGGAAAGGCCTTTCCATTTGTAATTCAAAACTCAGAAAGTATAAAATTAAAGTTTGATACATTCAATTATATTAAATAAGTTATGTATGACCAAAAGATAGTATGAATCAAGAAACAAGTAACAACCTGGAAAAAAAATGTTTTTCAACTTATGTCACAGACAAAACAATGGATAATCTCACTAATATGGAAAGAGCTACTAGAAATCAATAAGAAAATTATCAGCAACCTAACAGAAAAATAAGCAAAGAACATTAACAGCCTTTTCATAGAAAAATAAACAAAATGGTCTTTAAACACCAGGAGAAAAGTTAAGCATCTTTTCAAATAGGAGAAATGAGAACCAAAAAGTATACTTTAAACTTTCAGATTTTGACTAGTCTCATATAAAAATGTATTCTAATTCTGTGTTTTAAGGAGACCATGGGAAACCAGTTATTTGCATACATTGATTGTGGAAAGATGACCCCTTAGAAGCAATTTGGTAACATTATTAAACTTTTAAATGTATTTACCCTTTACCCAAAATCTCACTTCTTGGAATTTCTTCAAAAGATAGCTTGTACACATGCACAATGATAACACTGTCATCAGAGTCATAGCAGCACTATAATAGCAAAGGATTGGAAACAATCTGTGTCCATCAAAAAGAGTGTGTATGTGTGTGTGTGTGTGTGTGTGTGTGCATGTTTAAAACTCTGCATACACAATGGAATAGAACACAGCAAAGATGTTCCCTGTATGATGCTGTGAAAAAGCCCTAGGATACAGATAATATATACATATATATCTGAATGGAGAGAGATATAGAGATATGAATATCGCGTTATTTTTTGTGTGTTGGAGAGAAAACAATAAAAATTACTATATGGGGGTGCCTGGGTGGCTCAGTTCGTTAAGCATCAGACTCTTGATCTCAGCCCAGGTCATGATCTCATGGGTTTATGAGGTTGAGCCCCACGTCGGCCTCTGTGCTGACAGCATGGATCCTGTTTGGGATTCTCTGTCTCCCTTTCTCTCTGCCCCTCCCCTGCTCATGTGCTCGCCCTTGCGTGTGCACGCTCTCTCTCTCAAAAATAGATAAATAAACTTAAAGAATTACCATATGAATTTACTTATATATGCATAAATACACTCAGTAACAATATGCAGGAAACTAATAGGAGCGATGAACTGTAGGTGAAAGAACAGGGTAAAAAATAGTATAAGGGATGTCTGGGTGGTTCAGTCAGTTAAGTGCCCACCTTCGGCTTGGGTCATGATCTCACGGTTCATGGGTTTGAGACCCACATCAGGCTCTGCAAGTGCAGAGCCTGCTTCAGATCCTCTGTCTCCCTTTCTGTCCCTCCCCCACTCGAGCTGTCTAAAATAAATAAACATTAAAAAAATAGTAAGAGGGGGCAAAAGTAGGAAGAAGACTTCTCAGAGTATACCCCATTTTATTGGTTTGGTTTTTTTTACCCACATAAATCATAAAAGACTCAAAATTTAAATTCAAACAAAGAATTCTTTTGGCTCTATAGTTTATGATTGAGTACCTACCATCTAGTTAAAGCTCAATAGTTCTACTGGACCAGGGGCTTGGAAAAGCCAAAGATGAGATGACACAAAATAGCATTTTTTATTTGGCTTTGAAGTGTATCATGTGATGGTAGGGATGTGGACATCAGAGAATTCACCAACCTGATTACATTTTACAGATTTCATCAGTAAAGTCTCCCCGAGACCTTAGTAAGAACACGGTCACAGTGATCTGTAAGAACAGAAAAAAGTAGGTAAGATAGATAAACATGTAGAAAGCACTGCCTTCCTGCAGAAGAGAAACATGCTATCCATTTGAGTATGTTGTGGTTGTTGAGTATAAGCAACACATCTTCTGCACAGTAGTCCAATAGGGGCTAATGTTTCCATCTCCAAAGTCCATTTCTATTTTGCCCCTACTCCAGACCCTAGATTCCGTGTTTAGAATGATTTAGCTAAACCATATGTAGAAGATAGTTACCCATCTTTAAGATTAAAAACATACAATTGCCATGAAAAGTATCTGACCCACACAAGATAACTAAATTATTAACATGATACATAATTTTGACAAACGCAAAAACAAAATGTTTTTATACACTTATTAGCCCAGGTTGTTTGGCTGCCCGTAAGTGAACAATTTCTGTTAGGTTCCTTGAAATATTAGAAATAGGTCATCCCCATGACTCTGTTAGAGGTTCTGAGATTCCAGATTTCAGGCTTTCAAGTAGAAAAGAGGCAGCAGCCTGGGAACCCTTTCTCTTAGTCCCTAGGATCAAGTCTTCATGGTAAGAGGGGGCTATGACTCGCTTCCATAGGAAAGGAAGCAATGGTTCCTTGTGCACCTAAAGCAAGGGGCAGATTCCTGCTCTTTGGCTGAGTGACAAGCTAAATATTTTTCTATACCTGGTCTATTTCTCAGGATTTCCGTTTCCTTACACGTAATCAAGCGTTAAAAGTTAGTGCAAGCATTGGACAAGTCACTTAACCTCCTTGTGCCTCAGTTTCCTCATTGTAAAAAGGAGATAAACAATAATGACCTCAAGTGAGTGACTTAATATGTCTCAAACACTTAGAATAATGTCTGGAAGATAGTATGAACTTACGAACTCAAATATTAGCTATCCACATGTAACATCTTAGAGGTGAGTTTGAAACTCTCTCTTTAGAGCCAGGGCTACCTCCTGAGAAGTTATAGAACACATCCCCTGCCACCATTTCCTTAGACTAATTAGCTGCACTACAAATGGAAATTACTTTCATAACTTAAGCTTTACTAGTGTTGAATGATTTACATAATCCTGTAGCTAGGAGGTCCCAGAACTGCATTCCTTTCTTTGGCAAATTTGTATACCTTCCTCCAAAGGCAGTATTTGTTCATCACGTCTGGTGTAAGAAATGACTTCAGGCTAGGGTTAGGTGGAGAATGCCAATCCCTTTCCCCTCCCTCTGTGCAAAAGCTTGAAACCCCAGGGACCAGAGGAAGACACTGCCCACAGATAAGGGCAGAACCAAGTAGCCCATGGATGGTTGGTTCAGAAGAGACCACCCAAGTGGGGCCTACTTACATATGAGAGAGAGGTATTGCACCTCTGAGCCTCTGCGCTCCATCACAAGGGGATACTAAATTGTCACACTCTGGAAGCAAATGGAAGAAGAGTATTTATCATCAGTAGTTTAAACGTGTGCTTCTCTCACTCTTACACAATCCAAACAGGACAGCAAAAGAACGGGGAATCCGCACCTAGGAAGAGACCATCTAGAATGTTACAAAAACGCTCCCCAAATCACTTGGTCTTAGGGAAAAAATGGAATCAAACTCTGTGTCCCTGATGGGCAAAGGGAGAAGGAACATTTTCCTGGCTAAAAGTTTCAAAAATACACCTTTGCCACACTTGAAATTTTCACCCATTATTTCCTTATAGTTATTTAAAATGCACATTAATTTCATCAATAACCTAACTTAAACACTCTAAATGGACTTACTACATTTATTTAGTTATTCAATCAATATTTATGGAGCACCTTGGTTCACAGCCATTGCATCAGTGCTTAAAATAAAGTTCCTTCTCTCAGAGAGCCGATTTTCCAGGGACTGGCTGGTTTTCTCCATGTGTCCCCCCCGCAGGATGACTTCCTTTTCCAAGCTGACATCTGTTGAAGGCTATGGGTGTCAGGTACCTAACACCATTAGTTCATTTAGTTCTTACAACATCCCTGTAAGGTGGGCACTGTTGTCCTCCCCACTTGACAATGAATTTAAAGTTTAAAGAGAGGATAAGCAACTTGCTCAAGACTACAAAGTAAGTCATGGATAGAATTTAAATTGGGCTCCAATTCCAAACGCCTCCATTTCGGTCCCCACCCTAGAGTACTTTCAAAACTTCTCAAAGACAGCTTGCTATGATGGATTTCTGGTTTGAAATTGGTCTCCTTCTGCATTTTCCCTGTTTGGTATGCTAGGATTCTTCTCTTTTTCTGTACAATGCCTTTCTAGCATCTAGAAAACGATCATTTAAAAGCAAGGGTATCAAGTCATGGGACCATGGCAAAGCAGGCTAAGAAATAACAGCCAATTATACATAAATATTTAAATATATGCACTACACTCCACTTAGTGCATTATTCAGATTCTGGGCTAACACAAAAAGGTTTCCAGAACTTACCAGCTGCTTCCTTTTGTGATCTCAATGATTCTCACCCAAACAAGACTCAAAGGACCCATTTTCCAAATCAGCTTCCTCGTATTTACACCTTGTCATTGATGTCATTCTCCTTTTCTGCCAACCCTAAACTGACTAGAGAGGAGACTTCGAATTCTCTCTCTCAAATTGTTTCCTTTCTCTTTCCCCAAACCTTGCATTTTTTTTCTTCCCCTAAAACTCCCTAAGCCCAAGGCATAGTCCAGTGAAGTGAGTGTGATTAAGCAAATTAAGAACCGGCCCAGGGAGCTGCTCTAATTGCTCTAATCAGGGGTACTTTCCTGGTCCTGCTCATGGGAGGCCTGGCCGGCCTAGAACATTCACTGTCTGTCTGTGGGTGGCATGTCAGCAGATGGCAATCACTGCTACTATTTTTCCACGTTAATATGAGATTAAGTTTGGGGCTCTGGACCCTAATTATTCTTCTCAGTGATTTCGTTTAATTGGTCTACCGAAAAACACTTGGCTAATCCCTGAATGCCACACAAGCCCATGCAGCCATTTGGACCAGGTGGTCAGATTCTTCAATGGGGAGAAGAACGTGGGCACAACGGGAGGGGGTCCTATCTCCCTCTCTTACCAAATTCAAGCTCCCTGAAGGCAGGCCTAGTCTAGTCTTTCGTCTCCAGCAATGGGCTTGGCACAGAGCAGGGCTCCAAATGTTTGCTGACTATTGTGAAATGAAGAAAGGAGATGTGAAAGGCACATTTTAAGGAGCATTTTATGAGACAATGGATTTAACAAGGGGGAAAAAACTTGCACAGGGGATATGCACATTATATACTACACTTAGAATGTAGAGAAGACATGGCCAGTACTCAGGACATACTTTACAGCAACATCTGATTTCTGACCATTAACCCCAAATAGTTAAAGGTTCAAATCTATATAAGAGATAGAGGTTGAGGGGCGCCTGGGTGGCGCAGTCAGTTAAGCGTCCGACTTCAGCCAGGTCACGATCTCGCGGTCCATGAGTTCAAGCCCCGCGTCAGGCTCTGGGCTGATGGCTCAGAGCCTGGAGCCTGTTTCCGATTCTGTGTCTCCCTCTCTCTCTGCCCCTCCCCCGTTCATGCTCTGTCTCTCTCTGTCTCAAAAATAAATAAAGGTTGAAAAAAAAAATTAAAAAAAAAAAGAGATAGAGGTTGATATACAGAAGTATCAAACTGACATCAAATCAGGAGCTTCCGTGAGGAGAAAGCAGTGGCAAGAATAATCAATATTCCAATGAGCTTGATTTGGCTATGAAACCCTTCAAGGAAAATTCCAGAACCGCAGGAATCTAATAGCTAAATGAGGGCTACTAGGTGGTTGTATATTTAAATATTGCTACCCCTGCTTAGGCTTTTTGCTTAACTTTCTATAGCTTTTGGCAATAGTAGCTCATGAAGGACAGTTGGGAGAGCTGTCATAAGAATTCCTTTAGGCCTGGGTTCACTGGGCCCTGCAGGACAAATCTAAGAAAATGTGGCAATGTGCTGCAGCTGCAGCATGGTCACATAATGTATTCCTCACTTATCTGGCTTCCTTTCATGTGGGTAATTATGTTGAGTATTGGATTAGAAGTGTTATGTTTTGACTTAATCAATCCACATTTATTTTGGAGGTTTTTCTTAGCTGAGAAAGTAGTCATCAAATAAACTTTTAAAATGGAAAATTCATACGTATATATATACACATATCTGCAGACAAAAATATATACACATTTAAAATTCATTTTAGTCATTTTTACTTCATTTTATTTTTTTATGCATTTAATAAGCATTCTTGAACACCTACTGTGCACCATATGAGGAACGAGAAATAAAAATTTAAGACATGGTCCATGCTCTAAAGTGGTTTGAAGAGAGTGATGAAGGCAGTCCGTGTACAAACAGCAAACATGCACCAGTTGCTATGGAAACAATGGATTATAGAGTGTTACTAACTCTACCACCATCACTTTTCTAAAATGCTAGTGATTCCTATAGCTTGTAGTAGGTAGGGAAGCATATTATTTATGCTGAAACCACGCAGGGAGGATGCCAGAAATAAGCAAATCTGAAAAGAACAGATCTAACACATTTAGTTTGGCCAAGTAGAGGAAATGCCTCAGGAAAAATGTTTCCTCTTAAAAAAAAAAAAAAAAAAAAAGCAGCCTGGGTGAGACTTTCCAAAGATATCCCCAGAATAAATGAAAGGGTGCACTTAGGTTTGCAGCCTATTATGTTGATGCTCTGTTTCCATATCCTAAACTAGGGATTGGATAGCCTGGTCCTTTGAGGATTTCCAACACTTAATACCTCCCATGTCCCCAATTCTTGGCTCAGAAATTTCACCTGCCAGCGGCACCCAGGTTTTTCAGTCAGTTAAGAACCCAACTTCAGCTCAGGTCATGATCTCATGGTTCATGGGTTTGAGCCCCACGCCGGGCTGTGTGCTGACAGCTCAGAGCCTGGAGCCTGCTTCTGATTCTGTGTCTCCCCCTTTCTCTCTGCCCCTCCTGCACTCACGCTCTGTCTCTTGCTCTTTCTCAAAAATGAATAAACATTCAAAAAAGAAACAAAAAGAAATTTCACCAGCCAACAAGTTCATTTCTTCCAGAAGCATCAGGTACACACTAAGTCAAGTTTGGAGGCAGGGAAATCAAGTTTTACTGATCACCAGCTTACCCACTTCAAATTAAATCTCCAGTGTAGTGAAAGGTATCCCACATTCTCCTGCCCCCTGAGAGTTTATACCAGCATGTTCACCTTATCTTCCTGAAGTTATTCCAGTTATTAAAAAAAAAATGGTATCTTCCCTGATGATTCAAAGTGAAGTAATTTTCACTTCCATGAAGAAGTATTCGCCCTCCACTTACTAAGACACTAACAGCACTCACTCTTCTATTTCGGAGACAGAGCCTCCTCAGTGAATCCTGGTGCAGTCTGACAGCCCAGGTGGCATCCTCACTCACTGGAACTTTCTCCTTATTCGTTGTGAGCATGCAGTTTTTTTTTTTTTTTTAACGTTTTATTTTTGAGACAGAGACAGACAGAGCATGAGCAGGGGAGGGCAGAGAGAGGGGGAGACACAGAATCCGAAGCAGGCTCCAGGCTCCGAACTGTCAGAACAGAGTCTGACGCGGGGCTCAAACCCACAAACCGTGAGATCATGACCTGAGCCGAAGTCAGACGCTCAACTGACTGAGCCACCCAGGCGTCCCAAGCATGCCAAGTTTTTAAAAGGCTATGCTGACCAAGGACTGACTGCCAGCCTCATTATGACTGGTCCCAGAACAGAGTTCTACCTTCAGTTAATCTTCAAAAGAGTATCTCACCCAGATAACTTATTTACCCTGCTTCTAAGATCTTCCACACCCATTTTAAATCCTTAGAATTTCAGTCTTGTTTTGGGAGGATGCCAGAATTTCAAGTATCCTCTGATAATTAAGTGACCTCTTCTGCCAGCACCCAAAAATGATTAGCTCTTGGAATTTTGACCTCCAATATTTTCCATTTAACAAATTCACACGAACTACCTAATATGTGATCAGCACTGTGATAATCACTGTAAAGTTGCACTGGAATTAAATTTTAAATTTAAGAAAAATCTTTGACCTAAAGAACTGGCCAGACTAGATATCACACATGAAATGACTGCAGTGAGTACAGAGTCAAGTGCTATAGGAGGAGACAGTAAGGAATAATACCCTACTATTATTTAAGAACAAAATGAAAAATGAAGAGCCCCTAATTGGATAAAGTGCATTCACCTATAATTCTTTTTTTGATTGTTACAACTGCATGGTGAGGTAGGCAAAGGAGATATTAACCCCATTTTACAGATGAGGTAACTGAGACCCAAAGAGGTCAAGGGGGTTGGCCAAGGACATCTTGCGAATAAGTGGGAGAATTCCAGGATTGTAGTTCTAGTGTGGTCTCCCTGTTGTGTGGTTTTGCTGCCACACCATGCTGCCACCTTGCTGAGTACCATGGGAGGGAGAAGACGGAGCATGGAAGGACCAGAAGGATGAGCTATAGGCAACAGAAAGGATGAAGGGTCTTTATGGGGAAAACAAGACAGACAGAGATGGGCAAAGAGCATGACCACAGGTTTGGAGGCAGAGACTGGGGGAAATAATGACTTACCAAAATAGAATGTATATTAAAACGAAGTGGGGAATAGGGTTTGAGAGGAAATTAAATAATCATGGATCTTTCAGAAAGTTGGTATCAGGAGGTGAGTTTGGTCTTTCAAACAATGCGGTTATTTTGGGGGGGAGACTGACATGATCAATGCAGAGGTTGAGAAAGTTGATATACTTTTTGTATAGTACAGGGTTAGAGCGGGGGGTGGGGTACGGCAAAGAGTCTGGGTTTCTGGAATCCAGGCGGGGGTGGGGGAAGGGCTAGCATCGTGAAATGTTGACATGGGTATACTTCACAGAATTCATCACCCACGTTCATTTGCACATCACTGAACAACAGCAAAGCTAAAAATACTCTGGTTACAAGCAACAGGGTATATAAAAGAGAAGAATGATTGGTGCTTTCAAGTTTATGATGGATTAAGCCATTTTAGGTTGGTTGACTTAAAATTTGTAAAATACACTGTCTTCAGGTTTGACAAAGGTAAAATCACCCGCTTTTTTTAGGCTTTGCATTAATTCGACTTTCTGCATTTTGTCAGCCTGTTATCAAATTGGAATGGAGGTGGCCCCACAGGACTGCTGGAGTTCTGACAGATTAAGGGGGGTTGATTGGGGTAGGGGGAACTCTGGGTCCCTCACCTACACTTAAATGAGAATAGGTCAGATTTTGTAAAACTGCTTTTATTAGGCTAGATTACAACATTTCATATGCGTAAAAGGTTCCATAGATTAAAACATCTGAAAAGCCACGGATCTAGTCTAATCTCATCCCAAACAGAGGAAAAAGCAGAGATAGGCCCTTGAAGGGCTTTGTTCAAGGTCACAGGGCAAGGAAGACCACCTGAGGGGCATTTTTGTATAGCAAAGAAACTTCAGTAAACAAAATGAAAAGGCAACCTCCCAACCTGCAGCATGGGAAAAAACACTTAGAAAGCAATGTCTGCTAAGGGATTAATACCCAAAATACAGAACTCGTACAACTCAATAGCGAAACACCAAATAATACAATTAAAAAATTGGATCATTAGGGAAATACAAGTCAAACTGTAATGACATATCACCCCACACCTGTCAGAATGGCTGTCATCAAAAAAGACAAGACACAAGTATTGGTGAGGATGTGGAGAAAGGAGAACCTTGTCCACTGTTGGTGGGAATATAAATTGGCCCAGCCACTATGGAAAACAGTATGAAGGTTCCTCAAAAAATTAAATGGAACTCCCATATGATCCAGCAATCCTACTTCTAGGAATATATTCAAAAGAAATGAAATCATTATCTCAAAGAGATATCTGTACTCCCACGTTTACTGCAGCATTCTTCACCACAGCCAAGATCTGGAAACACCCAAAGTGCCCATCAATGGATGAATGAATTAAAGAAAGTATGGTATTCATTTCCTTGGCATATACATATGGAATATTATTCACCCATAAAAAAGGAACCCCTGATATTTGTGACAACATGAATGAAAGTGGAGGTGTATTATACTAAGCAAAATAAGCCAGAAACAGAGAGACAAATCCTGTATGCCATCACTTATAGGTAGAATTGAAAAAAGTCAAAATCATAGAGTAGAATGGTGGTTGCCAGGGGCTGGGGCATAGAGGAAATGGGGCACTAACTTCCAGTTCTAAGAGAAATAAGTTTTGGCACTGTGACGTGGAGCATGATGACCATAGTTGATAATGCTGTATTGCATATTTAAAATTTGCTAAGAGTAAATTTTAAGCATTTTTGCCAAAAAAAAAGGGGGGGTGCAACCCTGTGAGGTCAAGATGGAGGTGTTAACGGACTGAATTGTGGTAATCGTTTCACAATGCATACATATATGTATCAGATCCTCACGTTGTACAGCTTCACACAATTTTGTCAATTTTATAGACAATTACATTTGCCGATTTTACCTCAGTAAAGTTGGGGGTGAGGGAGAAGAATTGGGGCTGAGAACTCAGAAAACAAAATCATTTCACAGCCTTTGGCACCCAGGCTTCCCTCCAGGCCCGTTCATGTGCCTGCAGCAGAGCCGGTCCCCAATGCCCCAAGTGGGCCAGCCCAGGCAGCCAAGGGCCGCCATGGGGAAAACATGGCCAGGCTGGGCCCAAGCAGCAGAAGCTGGTTTCAGTGGGAAGCCTCCCACCAACAAATGAAACATAAGGTGCTTCTAGTCAGAAAAGGGTCTGCTTAACACTCTTCTCCAACTCATTCATTTTTCAATATTTGCTTACTCCTCCTTTTCCCTCACTTTAGTCCCCTTTTGAAGACCATCTAAGGTCGACCCCCCCCACCCCCATACTACAACAAAAAACCAACCAACCCACCAGCACCACCCCCCAAAAAAAAGCCACCTTGAGAAAGAGAAGATAAAGAGGTGCTGCAGGTTTGGAATTTTCACTGTTTCCAAAGAATTATGACCCAGAAGCAGAGAATCATTAAACCCGCTGGTTTCACTTGTACAACAGCACATAACGCTGTACCGGAGACCTCGCTGCCCGCTGAATCAGGAAGTTTAGAGGGAGAAGGCCTGGCAGAGCCCCTAGTAAATCTGTCTTTTTGTATTCTAATCATAAAAAAGTATTCCCCTCACTTTCTCACACAGGGCCTAACGTCACCTTAACAGTGTTTATCAAGACAGACAAAGTGTCTTCACCAAAGCTAGAACATTTGTCTTCTTTGACAGCAAATGCTGATTAAATCTTCCCAGAGAAAAGTTAGGCAGACCAGAATCCACCTTCTTGCCAGGTACAAAGGGACGGACTACAATTCTGGTGTGTCCTCTCCTGTTCTCCTTGTCAGGAAAAATAAATAAAGGTGATAGAATTTGGTAGAAAAGGTCTCCGGAAGATACAGCTGTCTCCGTTTTAACTTAGGTTCAACTATTTCTTGCCAGCTTTGTGAATTATCTCAGCTAACTAAAAGAACCCCTAAAGGAACCATGCTACGGACTGTAAACTGAGGAAAACCCAAGCGCACACAGATGGCATACAAACCGGCCATTGCCAGATGAGCCTTTTCCCTCGCGGGGCCATTTCAGGGTGGATCCCAAGGGGACTATGACTTCACTTCCAATGACATTAGTGGTGAAAGAGGCTGTGAGTTATGAATTAACATCTCTCTGTGAACTAACTCTTCCATATTCAGAACGCCCACTTAAAAAAAAAAAAAAAAAAAAAACAAAATCCAACTCACCTTTCCAGGACTCACCGACGTGGCAAACAGAAACACACCCGGTTGGAAATCCAGGAAAGAGAATCATGTCTGTGGCCTATGTGCTGATCTGAGCAATAAAGCCTGTTTTTTTTTTTTTAATCACCCTTGTCAGAAATAGAAAATCTCCTTAAAATATGGGACATAGCTCTCTGTGCTTCATGAGCAATTCTACACAAAAGCTGTAGACCTCACAACACAATGTGGTCATCAGCACCATCAGCTCACCAACAGTCATTCAGATGGTGGACTTGGTGAAATCTCTCCTGGGGCCTTTGTAACTCATCTGCATAATTGCAGAGCTTTCTAATCCCTGTCGCAGAGCTGTAATTGTGTCAGGATAAAGTAAGGCTCTCTGATCCCCGGCCTGGTAACTGGAGGCACAAACCTCCCATTCAATTATTCCTGAACGATGGCACTTAAGCGTAACTGTGGGAAAGGGAAGCAGACCCCCCCCCCACCCCAGCACGTACTTCTCTCTTTTGCCTGCCACTAGTGGAAGAGTCTGACTTCAGTGGGCACAGCCAGAACGCTCTTTCCTGACCTCCAACCTCGGGTATTTACCAACTGGCTAATGAAGAAACAGTAAGTAACCTCCTGCCCACTGGAGAGCCAGACAAGAATGAAAACGGATATATGTACACTTTTATTCTAGAGCTGGAGAAGAAAAGTAATTTCCATCCCACTGAGCTCTAAAGCGCTGCCTTTCATCCCACTGGGTAAGGTGTGAAGCCTGCTTTGTCCAGACTGGCCTGGCCTTTGATGGATTTATTGACCAGACCTACTGGCTGGAGGAAGTGTAGGGACACACCTTTTGTTGAGAAAGAAGAACGTACACCACCAACAGGCTTCCAGGACCTCATAAAACAGTCTTTCGGCTTAGAAGATCAGGTCTCCCATGTATCAGTATCGGGAGGAAAGTATTAAAGGCATTTCTCAAGTTTAAAGGAAAACAAAATTTCAAAAGCAAGGTGAGTTAGCTGCCAGTGTTTGTCAAATTGCTGGGGATGCAGAGTCTAAGTCTGACAGACTGCTCTGTGAACAGGGTATAGCTTCTGCATAACTTCATCAATTATGTTATTTGTCATGGGCTAAAGGACATGACACATAGGGAGCACGGTGTAGTCTCATCTGGAAAGGGCAGGAGAAGGCGAGATGATCAGAAACTGTGAATTAATTTTGCGCTGATCCCGAGATCCCAGCGGTGACAAGATGCCTTCTACTATTCTACAATTTCAATAAAGCTCTGACATTACTACATGGCAACAAAGGGAAGAACAAGGAACGGCTGCCTATATGCTGCATTCTGCATAAAAGGCTATGCTGGAAGCCTAATTGCTTCTCAGCCGGAGTATTTAAGTCTCTAGCCCCCAGTGGAACACAAGTCATTCTCAAGGTGTGGTATGTTCTGCATTTAACTGGAGTCGGGGAACCCTCGTTCCGATCCTGAGCTTAGGTTCTCATCACCACTGGTAGGAACCGATTAACCTAAACAAGATGCTTAAGTCCTCAGAGTCTCCACTTCCTCATCTGTAAATCATGACAGTGCACTTTAAATTTCAGGACAGTAGTGAGAAGGAGATAAGGGACAGTGAAAATTAAGTGAATTAACTATAGTTAAGTACTCAATAAATGTTAGTTCCCTTCCAATTTTTGTTTTTCCACTTTTGATTGCGGCAGCAGAGAAATTCTTGGAGGAAGGAGACAGAGCCAGGTAGTGTAAGAAGTTGACACTCTTTGAGCTTTCTTGCTGCTGGGGCAGCAGATTTAGCTGAACCACTATCAGTCCTGTAAACAGGCTCTGTGTACCACCTACTGAAGTCTCTCATGACAGGGAAAGTGCAATAAAACGCCCAACAGGCAAGAGATTGGTTCAGAGCATTAGCCATCTATCCCAACCCCTTGTGGACCCCACGGCAAAGCTTCTTGCTACTGACTCCCAAAATGTCCACCCTCTAAGCCAAAAAGCAAGGCATGAGCGATTTCACTGCCATTGGTCATTTACATCCATTTCCTATATAAAAAGCAATGCTACTGACTCCCCAAAAAATGAAGTGAAGAAGAGTAAGAGACAGGAGGAAATGGCCAGATGAAAGAACAATGAAGGTGCCCGATTACAACAAACATCACTTTCCTGCCAGGACACCAACAACAGGATCCCAGCCAGCCTTGTAAGTTGCGATCTCAGCCAGCTGGCTACATAACTGATGGAAAGAGAGGCCCAACAGTAGAAAAACAAAAGCTCTTTCCCACCAAATGGGGAGTGGTCAGAAAGGCATGGGAGGAAAACCACATTGTGGTGTCCCAGATTTATTCTGTCTACACAGCACGGAATGCACTTACATAGCTCACATGCTTGGGGGCCGTTTCTCTAACTACCGATACTGCCGATTCCACCTGCAATCTAAAAACCAGGCTGTACATCTGCTGCCTCATCTCTCCACATGTAATAACTGAAACACTATTTTTCACGCTCCAGAAAAATGCAAACACAGCTCCACCGATCCACTTCAAATCTCCCCAAACAATTCAACTGAGGACGAAAATCAAGGAAACATTTCAAAGCAAAGAGCGTTGGGTGTCTCAAGGCATGGGGATAGGCGGTGTGTGTATAGGGGAAGGTCTCTTTTTAGTAGAGTTACTGTTGGTTTCAAAGACAGGTGCTACCCTGATTTTAAAGTTTGTCAGATATGCATCCTATATGACTGGTGATACCCTTTAGGGTTATAATATTACTGCCTTCTGTAGAATCCACGGGTTGGCTGTCATGCTAGGATGTAGGTGACTATCAGACAAGTCCCGTCAATCATCTCTACTTACCTGATTAGACTAAATGTCCCTCCAAAGTCAAAAATCAGACATAGTTTGGAAGTCTGTGAGTCAACTAATTAAGGTAAGGGCAAAAAATCAATAGTTAACATGACCAAGTACAAGTCACACGTCTGGCAGGCAGGAAGTTACAGTGGCAGACAGAGGGGCCTAGGCACATGAGGGTCCAGAATCTAGGCACCAGCCACTTAACAATAGAGTCTTTATTCTTTTCTTTGAATGTTTTCCCATTCTTCCTAAAACTAATCATCAACACCTTGAAGGATCTTTGAAGGTAAGGACCCTGCATTCCCTTTCAATTCTCTGGTCTTCACTGGAGCTGATGGGGGAGGGACCTGAGGGGCAGGAGACAGAGATCTCAGACCACTCAGTTGCACACTAAACTCACTGAACTCAGTTGCACACCCTCACGTGCTGCATCAACTCAGACTTGAAACCCCGCTTCCTGGAGAACAGCTTTGCCCCTTATGAACCCACATGTGGTGGAGTAGCTTTTGTGACTCACAATGACTGGTCTGAATATCCTGCTGCTGACACCTTAATGCAAGGAGCCATATGGAAAATGAGGCAGAAATGAGAAAAAGGGGAAAGAGTAGAAAAACTGAGCCTGCCAGCTATAAAGCAGGGAGCTGGGGTGCAGACCTGCAATTCAGAATGGAGAGGGGTAATCACAGTGCTGTGGGCTCTCACACAGATCATTGGTTTTTACTGTAGATAGGGGAAAGAAACCACAGAGCAAATATCAGCTGTAGACAATTTTCTTCTTAAACCAGTACAACCCACTACATTTCACCACCAATGGCGCCACAGTTTTTATACCTTAAATAGTGGAGAACAGCTTTGAAAAAAATATTTTTTTCTTAATTGAAAACCTTTCCCTGCAATTCACATGACCTTTCTCGAGTCCCCCTTTTCCCATCCCCCGTCTCTTCCACCCCCTCCACACACAACAGGCTTGAGGATATAGACCCTACTTCCCCTCCCCCCCCCCAAAAAAAATCACATAGGTCTGGGAGTGGGGTGAGCCTTCACATAAGAAATGAGAAAAACAGGGGCGCCTGGGTGGCGCAGTCGGTTAAGCGTCCGACTTCAGCCAGGTCACGATCTCACGATCTCGCGGTCCCTGAGTTCGAGCCCCGCGTCAGGCTCTGGGCTGATGGCTCGGAGCCTGGAGCCTGTTTCCGATTCTGTGTCTCCCTCTCTCTCTGCCCCTCCCCCGTTCATGCTCTGTCTCTCTCTGTCCCAAAAATAAATAAAACGTTGAAAAAAAAAAAAAGAAATGAGAAAAACAGGATTCTTTTCCTTGAGTTATAAAAACTGAAAGGTACGAGGAATTTTATAGACCCAGAAAGTGATGAAATGAAGAGAAAGACATCAAGTCTACCCAAAAGGTGATAAAATATTTTATTTGTTTTTTGGTTGTGAGAAAGAAAATAAATCATTAAGATGACTGCCAGACGCCTCAAGGAGACGGGCATCGGACGAGATCGGGCGCGTTCAGGGTGGTATGGCCGTAGAAGGAGAAGGGCATCGAATAGGACTTGGCCATAAATGTTGGAGAGTGCAATGCAAGAGTTGGGTTTGTTTCCTTAGCATTTGTCTGGGTTGAGCCTTCCTGTTTCAACACAGGAATCAGGGGCAATGATAAAAATCCATCTACCGTGGGGTATGCATTATTGCCTTTCCATGCTGGCCCCGTCCAAAGATCCCAGAGCAGCTGCTCCCGCCTTTACCCTGGCTCCCAACCAACACTTACACTACAGGACATGTTGTCAAATGCCAGGATGTCAGGATCACAATTTCCTTTATTTTCATGATTACTTTATACCTGCTTATAAAACAGAGTTGGGACAGGGCTGGGTGGGTGATGGGGGGCAGGGGGTGTTATTTTTCTTGGTCCTTCTTGGTCCTAGGAATTCAAGATGAAGAAGGCAAGGTTCTTGCCCCAAGCAGCTCAGTCTAAAGTACTTTGGGTTAGGGGCGCCTGGGTGGCGCAGTCGGTTAAGCGTCCGACTTCAGCCAGGTCACGATCTCGCGGTCCGGGAGTTCAAGCCCCGCGTCGGGCTCTGGGCTGATGGCTCAGAGCCTGGAGCCTGTTTCCAATTCTGTGTTTCCCTCTCTCTCTGCCCCTCCCCCGTTCATGCTCCGTCTCTCTCTGTCCCAAAAGTAAAAATAAAACGTTGAAAAAAAAATTAAAAAAAAAATAAATAAAGTACTTTGGGTTAATTCTGATATTGTTTAGTGATGTATTACAAGTGCCTGAAAGACAGAGAAAGGTGACAGAATAGCTGTTATTAAAGCAACTGCTGATTTTATTTAAACCTGGAAAGGATTCGTTATGAATATGTAAAAGAGGTAGGATTTTAAACTAACCCACAAACTTGCATTCAGCATTTTGCTTTATGTTCTTCT